CTCTTCGGAAGAGGATGAACGAGAGAAATACCTATGTATATCATTTGGCTAGGATTAAGTTGATCCCCCTCACTTTTGCTTACTTCCCGTCACGAACCCCTGAAGTATTACCACTAGGGTTAGCGTTCGGTTTGGAGCAAAGTTTAGAGTTTAGTGTGGGTGCTATGGGAAAGGCGTAAAGTTAGAGGTGAGGGCTGGGGTTGGAGTTATGATTATAAACTAGACTTTAGCGTTTGGGGTCCTCCCTTGCCCGCTTACAGTATTCGTGGTTTGACAATGATAAGAGGACAAGCGCGTTTTGTAACCTCTTCGGTGAATGTATCGCAGGGGGTTAAGAAGGTTAAACTCTAGCAACTGCGATCTTCAGACCATGGTTACTTAGTGAAGACGAAGTCGGTGGAGGCCACAATAGTAGGAACAGTATATTGTGTACACAGAGGAACGGAGAATAGATGGAAGAAATCTGAATTGGGAACACACGACCAGCCAGGAGAGCCAGCTGGGTCCAAGTGCCGGTTTGACAGCAGTCAGGCCAGTAGGCAGAGAGAGAGCGTTCACACGTACAATGTTGCTATTTGTCGTGCGGCCAGAAATCAGTTTTTACAGCAACTGTGATTGGCTGATCCAGGCGTCGAGAATTGCAGTCGTGAAATTCTAGCGGAGTTCACTTCGACACGAGCTAGTCACTACAAATGCACCTACCTACGATGTTATATCCATCTTCGGCAAGTGTTACAGACCAAGACTGGGGTCAATGTGGTGGCCATTTTTGACTTTTTACTATCATTTCTTGTACCTTACTGTTCTTGTGTTTATGGCCAACATGTAAAAAATCCCAGTCCACTTTTCCATAACACTTTTCAGTTAACAGCTCCATCATATATGCCCTTGACTCACGAGGTAGCTGGCTATTAGATTGCTTTTTTAGTCAGACTTAGCACGCTTGACAGGCATTTTTTGGATTAATGCACAAAATAACCTGCGGATAGAGCTTTTTCAGTTATTTATTTCTTAACACTAATGCATGTACCGAGGTAAATTGAGTCAGCGAACGTGTATGTATCGCAAGGCGTTGGGTTAGTAGAGGAAACCGTTGCCACTACGATCTTCATGCCCGGTTCCTTGGGAGAAGGTAGGTAATGGGAGACCCAAGCGCCAGGAACAGTTTATTATGTATAGAAGGAGTGGGGAATAGATAGGAGGAACTTCACTGTCGGACAAGCATAGGTCTGTACCGGAGCCGGCAGTGTTCGAAGTGCGGGGCTGGCAGCAGTCATTCCAGCGGTCTTTGTCTGAGTCAGCCTTGAAAGATGATTGGCCAGACCGGTGCGTACGCACATCCTCGCAGCCGCCGGGGGTTGGCTGTACCTGTGATTGGCTGTTCCAGAGGCCGACAACAGTGAGTGTTCACGCCTGGGCGTGGAGTGAGTCACTACATATAAACACCAGTGAACAAGAAGTACTAATCCCACAAGTAGAGCCACCCAATTCTATTGCTCAACACGATCACCAAACTTATTTCAAATACTTCGCATAACTCAGAGAAAATTAAAACCCGTTCTTAATCATGCATACGAAAAAATATGCTACCTTGTTGACGCTGCTTAAGGCTTTCTTTTTCCAGACAAAGGAACATCTTTTTATGAACAGTCTAATGCCATATTTCTTTTGCACTTACATTTCATCTTGCGACACCTAAACAAAATGAAATCTCAATGAGAATCTTGCTACATATTTTCTTTTGGTTGATAACTGAAAAGGTAATCAGTAGAATTTCCGCCGGTCTGAGTTCATTTCAGCCAACTAGACAAGCTCATCACGTAAGAGGGGTTTGATGTTGAGACTCAGGTCTGAATAATACGTTCTCTGCTTTTTGACACGTATTCTGTTCATTTACTTCAGTAAGCAAAACCAAATCAGTCGAAAAGACTTTGATCCGTCGTGTGGTTGAGCGGTACCGTCGTTTTGGAGGGGTTGGACGGCCAGTTAATGATAGCAAAGTGGTCCTCCAAATTGAATATGGCCTTCAGTTGATCCAGGTACTGGATATAGATGAGAACAAGCAGATCTTGAGGAGTAACTGCTGGTCTATGTACGTAAGTGCTCCAAATTCAGAGTTATTTTCTCTTACCATGTAATCTTCATATTTATATCTTTTGTCTGCAAGGCATCCTCAGTATGTCAGTTTGAACT